TGGGGGATTGAACCGCGGTCCCTGTGCTTTGCTAAGCTTGTTCTAAATAAGTGCTTTAGACCACTGAGCCATCTCTCCAGCCCCGCTAATTCACTAATATAAATTTGCATCAGTCTCACTTTTTCACAAATGTCCCAGGACTCGTAATTCCAAACCAAAAGTGATAATGTGATCCGAGCAGGATTTTCTTTTTAATTGTATGACTTTCCTTATGGGTTTGAATTGCTTTTACAGGTCATGTTTCGATGACTTGTTCTTTGATGTCATTTATGAACAATATTGAAAAGTAGTTTCTACAGTATTTCATGAAGTTGTTTTGAAGTACCTCTTTCTTTCTCTTTCGCTTTTTCTCTCCTTGGTGATTATGTTGTTTTTCTCTTCAAAGAGCCTCTTACAATCCATGTCAATTGCAGTGGGTCTTACCTGTGACTTGTAGCACAGTCAAGCTGGGTTTCTGCCGTGGATTCTGTCCATATGTTGCTCTGGAGTTTATGTTGAAGCTTTGGAATCCAGGGCACTTCCGCCCTTTCTTTATGGAAACAGTAATGTAAAATAATAAAATAGAATGAAATGGATTGCAGCGACAACTGGGAAGAAACATGAAGTGTCCTAAAACCCTGGGTATCTTTGATAAATTTCTATTTTAAAAAGACTTGGACTTTTTTCCCTGATCATAAACTAGCTGAATGACCTGGATATAGCTCTGAGGCTTAAGTGCCTGCCTGGCAGGCACAAGGTCCTGAGTTTGAATACCAAAACCAAACCAACAACAACAACAAAAATAAAATAAGCAAACCAACCTAGCACTTTACTGAGTCATCAACTAAGAATAATAATAGTTTATTTGCTCTATGCTTTGCAATTGCTTGTATTTTAATTTTGTAACAACATCTTAAAGTGGGAAAGGTGGGAGACAGCCCCATTTTTGTTTGTTTGTAGTAGTGGAGATCAAACCAAGGAGGTCTCACGCAGGCCAAGAACATATGCTTCCACTTATACACCCAGCCTTACCCTCTTTTACTCTTTCTTTTTTCAGCAGACAACAAACATATCTAGCACAATATAAATATTAAGCAGTGCAGAGGAGTGTATTGTTAGGAAGAGTACAGAGGGGCAGCATTCATAGGAAGAAAACGTTCATATGGAAACCATGACAGAGGTGGATCTAGAGGGTGATCTATAGGGGGATCTAGGAGGACAACATGGTCAGAAGGGTACTGGGAAGCTGTGTGGAGTGGCACCAGCATGGAAGGCCTGATGGATAGGACTGGGGAGAGAGATGAAAGCTTTAGTGCAGGAGTGAACCCAAGCCACAGTGGTCATGAAGTAAGGAAGGCCTCACAACAGAAGGGATGTGGATTTTAAGACTAATACAAGGTCAGAGTTTGTTCAGGAGGGCTTGCACTAGGAGGGTGGTGCTGACAGGTAAATAAGCCAAGGGTGTGTGAGCTTTGGCTACCGGATTCCCCGTATCATCATCACTGGCAGGCAGGTAGGCAACGGGGAAGGGTGCTGTGGGTGAGGCTTGCAGGAGGAACTCAGTAGAGTCCCAAACGGGTGCCGGTGCATGTGCATGGTGTGCTGCAGAGGATGCCTGGGTGTGGTTTCTTTGGGGTGTTGAGAAGAAAGAAAGGCCACCTGTTAGGATCTAGTATCTGTGGATCAGGAATGGGGACCCTTTCCAGTCCCCACTTCCAGATGCTCCAGAGCCTGGAAGGCAGGGTCTAAGCCACTGTGCAGCCTATGTCCTGAGGCTCCATCGTGTGAGGCTGAGGGGCAAAGCCAGGGACTGTGTCACACAGAGAAGCAAATCCTGTGGCTAGAAAATGCATCCACCGAGTCACACATTTGATTAACTGGGCTGAGAGGGGAGTGCGAGATGGGGAGGAGCAGGGGGCATGTTTCCCGGTCTGCGACTCCTAGCCCCAGCTCTACTGAACGAGGTGCTGTGTGGTAAATGGGGCCCTGAACAGGCCGGGCATTGGGAGAGTGTGGATCTACACGAGGGATGGAGGAGACTTCCTCAGCTGTTGGCGGGCACTTTTCCTTGACTTGTGCCACTTTTGTGAATTTGGAAAGGTGGAAGTGAAGGAAGTAGGTGTTCTGTTTCTGCACACATAGATTACTTCACTCATTACTAGGCTTGAAGGGAAAGATACTTCTCACTTGTAATTGTTCTTTTAGCCATCATTCTTATAGGGAAAGAGCTATAGTATTTTGCAAGGATTGTGAGGAACAAAGCCATTTTGGTCTATAGCCATATTGTGAGAAAAAATTTCTAAATGGTTCTTTGGGGGGATTTGCAAATATATTAAGGGCTTGGCAACTGATATAAGTTATGAAATTTACCAAAAAAGCATAAAACTCTTTCTTTCCTTTTGGAGATGTTCATAAATCTTTAGAAGCCACAAATGATTCAAATTACTGACTGCTATAAAATTTTACATCCCCCCACTACAAAAATGGAAATGTGAGATTTACGATTCTCCTAAAATATTTTCTTGTCTCTCTCTTTTTTATAGGCAGAACTCTGACTACTGTAGAAAAAAAGGTCATGATTCATGATCCAAAGCAGAATAATGGAGATGAATTAAACAAGGCAAAACAAGTGGAAACAGAATGAAGTGATTTGCCAAGACTGCAGGACGGAATGTGGCTTTGGGCCTTTCTTGGGATGGCTCAAACATCACAAACAGGGTGATCTGTGTACAAAGTGTATTATGGAGGAGAGCGGCCTCTGTGTTTCCCTGTGGCTCAATGCTATTGTGTGCAAATGAAAATAGTTCTCAGTGTAAGTCAGCTAGATCATCTCAGCAGTAAGCACACGACGGGACCGAGCTCCAGAAAGGAAGTGGTTTCTGGTGCTTTGCGTCCATCCACAGCCACGCAAGTGGGAGAAGGTACCAACACACACGTCCTCTGCTTCTAAGCCTAGGCATTTTGGTGAATATTCAGGAATCATTCATGAGCCAGAATGTATTTTGTTGTATGACAAAAGGGTGTCTTTCCAAGAAAACTGTGGTAAGCGTAGTGTTGAATATGTTGCATGTCCATGTTAGAAAACAAAGTCCAGTCATCAGCTAATACAAATGATTCCCCCAGAGCAGTGTTTGTTTAAAGCTTCTGTCAAATAGTTCAGCTTTCCTGCAGGGTCCTTGTGGTTTCCCACTCTTTGTTAACTCCCTTATTGTTATGGTTTAACTCAGGAACAGGTCTCAGGATGGAGAGAAACATATAACCTGAGTTCACTTTTTTTTTTTTTTTTGCACTTGCACTTCTGAGGAGTCCTGAGAAGCGGAAGTAGACTTCTTCAGTGAGGGTTTGTACTAGGGTGAAGAGTGAGTGCTACTGACTGCGTTGTATATGAACATGATTGTTGGCACGTTGTTTACTCTCACTTTATACGAGGGTGCAATGAGCCCATGGGACTGGTCCGTAATTGTTTGATATGAAGGGGAACTGTGGCAATAAAACCTCCTATACCAAGTGCTTCTGGAGATGGAGCATAAATGTGTTCATTCAGCCGAGTTATGTGAAGTGGAGTTCGCCGGTACCACCTTGGGCAATGATCCAGAACACCGCTGCTCCATCTGAAGAATCTGTGTCTGTGTTCTTTGTGTCTTAAATCAAATGTGTGCCTGGGTAATTCCAGCCCCGTGCCCCTCCCCCTTCTCCAGTAAGGGTAGTAGACATCATGGGCAGGCGAGGGAGCAGAAACGGTTCTCTCGGGGATAGAATTTTTTAGAACAATTTGTACTAAGTCTGAACTAGGGACACAGAAAGACAGTAGATCAGGAAAGTACCTACGATGGTAAGGGGACATTGAGTGCGAACCTGCATTGAATAAAAGAGAACCGACAGAGAGTATTATTTTGCCACAAGAAACTGTCCTGTCCCGTGGCATTCCAACGTGGATTCTGGACTTCTTCCAGCTGTCACTGACACTGCTTCTTACCAGACAAAGGGAAGGGCTGCCTGCGAGAGGAACTCGGCCCCGTCCTTTCAGACAAAGCTTGTACAAATTCCCAAAGTGCAGATTTGCTACAGTGACCATATGTACTTATATTCACGACTTCAATGGTTCATTACGGTCAGATACATGTTAAATTTAAAAATGTTTTATTACATTACATCAATAAAGGTTATTTGTAGCTGTAATAAAGCAACTTAAGTAATTGTTTTAATGAAAGGTCTGATCTCATATGTGTTGTGATATGAAAGATGGCAGAAGGGAAAACTTTATATGTTAAAATTCTAACAGCTGATAGTTGTGTGTTAAATTACTCTTCAGTGTGAGCATTCAAGTCTACAATAACATACTTTAAAAACAATGACTGTTTATTTCATGATTTGATTAATGGGCATTTATTGGGCTCTCTCTACATTTAACAGTGTAGGCATTGAAGAATAAGGCACAGTCTTTACTTTTAAAGGGGTTGTCCAGGCAGAATGCAAATGAATCTCAAAGTTTCACAGTATAGTCTAACAAGTAATGTAGTGGGCTGCAGGAAATGATGTTTTTCTTTCCTGTAGTAGAAGACAGGACATTATGGTAAGCTTGCTTTCTTTCTTCTTCTTCTTCTTTCTTTCTTTCTTTCTTTCTTTCTTTCTTTCTTTCTTTCTTTCTTTCTTTCGCCAGCTCAGCCCACCTTGGGGGCAGGGCTGGCGGGGCATGTGGTGCCTGGATTGAACTGTAGTCTCTGCACTGCCTAAGCTTGCCTAAGCAGGTGCTTTAGACAGCTCAGTTATCTTGCCAGCCTATGAGCTGTATTTATTTAAATTTTTAATATATATAAATTAGGACTTTAGTTATTCAAAATGGCTCTTTGTCCAGCCTGACCTGCCCATAAATTGAGCTATATATGGCCACAGGGAGTGCCGGACTTCATGCATACCCTACCTTTAAATACATGACAGTGCAATGAAAGAAATGGTTTCCATTGAAAGGAAATTTAAAAAAATACTCAGGAATTAACTGTATTTACAAATGACATAATTTGTGCTAGAGGTACATTCTTCATTTTAACTAAGAGTTGAGAAAAATCATTGACAAAACCTTTTTACATATATTTTGTTACTGTTCAAGTAAAAATGAATGATATCACTAATCTCTCTTCTCACTCTAGGGTGAGCTGTCTTTTGTTGTCTGCTGGCAAGGCTGAGTTTTGGGAAGCCATTCTTGAGAAGTGAAGTATTTGTAAGAGATACATGAAGCCCTGTTGCCTTAGTGTGTAGTTTTATTCTGTAAATAGTAAACATGTGACACTCATAGAGTTCCTGAATTTTAGGAAAATTGTTTCACATCTCTCCAAACACTTACCATGGTGTTTGAGATGCTTGTGTCTGTGCTATATTTGGTGAACGTATTTACATTCAGTCTTACTAGGTTCATTGATTGCAGGGATGAGATCAACAACAGGAACTCAAAATGCAGTCATTTTTCAAATAGTTTATGTTAATATAATTGAATTTTCATCTAGGAATGGGAACACTTCCTTTCTGCATTTTATTTACCGAGGCCACAACTTAATGGATATCAATGTGTATAAATCTTATTTCAAACATCCATGTTCCCTCATAGCTCAGAACCTCCATACACACATTGTCCCTCTGCCTAGGATAATGTTCCTGGTATCTTAGTTTTTTGATATGTATCTTTATCATTGTTTAGAAATTCTTTAAGGACAAGGACCACATCCTTTTTTCACAAGTTCCTTTATGTGGCACCGTCATTGGAACATATACATGATAGACATGCAATAAATGTTCCTTAATGGCATTGTTTTTAATTTCCATGTGAGGAACTGAGGAGACGTGGCGTGAGCAGGGAGTCTCAGAGGAACCGGAATTAAGCTCTTCCGTGTGTGCTACCAGGCAGACCTTCCACTACCTGGTGCTGCTTCTTTTGCATGAGTTACTTGTATCAAGAGAATGACCTTTTCTCAATTTTCTGCACTAGTGAAGTAGAGCTGGGTCTGTGCTATGGCCCGTATGTTGAAATTTGTTTATCTGCAGCTAGCCAGATGGTCCTTGACAGCAGACAGAGAAGCCATTTGGAAACTTTCAGAGGGTCATCACATTCTGAAAACATTCCGAATAATGCGGATCAAGACGCTGTTACTTACTCAGAGCTTACAGTGAGCAATGCCGCTTGAGACTGAATGTGTGAACACACAGACCTTGTGAACGAACTCGGGGGATCTAGCTCCAACACAGATTTCACTGGATGGCCTTTTCCTCTTGCACTCTGCACTCCTTCTCTGGAGACTACAAATAAGTTCCTAACATAACAACATTGCTCTTTACATTCCTACTAGGTTAAATAAACATTTTTTAAAATACTTGCTCAGGTAATATTGGAAAGCAGAGAAATGATGTGATCGACAAAAATGAAAAACAAAATGTACTATGTCTGGTGTGAAATTGGTAGTGAGGTTGCTAGGTAGAAGCAGCTTCCCAGATACAGTTATGTTGAGTCATAGGCATATTACAAAAGGTAAGATGAAGGCATTATACCTGTGCTGGCAGAGGGGAGAAGTAGTGATCCAAAGCATCAGATGGTCAGCAGTGTCTAGAGTTTATCTTGCATGTATATTCGGTGATGTTGTCGGTGGCAAATCACCTGTCTTAATTACAGTTCTATCAAGCTATTATTGAAGTGCTCTTTGTTCTTTAAACCCACAGAGTCTCACAGCAGGAGAGTTAGCTCAGAGCCACGAGGGTAGGCAGCAGAAAGTCAGCGGCAGAGAGAAAGGTGTGTCACTGACAATGCACAAAGTCAACTCTGTGCCTGTAGGAAATGAGGTGTGAGTGCATCTAGAGTCCTGGCGCCAGAGCCCTCATGGCTGATCTGTTTCAATCTTCTATCATGTTGTAGCCAACAAAATTTTAAACCAGAGCTGTGTTTTATCTGAAGTTGTTTAAGGAGAATGGTCTATAGTAGTGCTTTGCAGACTATCTTTTAAGAAACTATTATTTTAAAAATCAGTTACATGCCTGTACATATGAAAATCAAGTTGGATTCTCAGAAAATGTAAAAAAATGTGCAGCATAGAAGACTGGTATTTTTTCTTATTAGGTTCAACATAAATATGATAAAAATAGATATAGAGAAAAAAATCACAAACATTGGCCACTGTTCACTGAAAGACAGTAGCTGCTGAACGAGGAACAGCATAGCAGTTTCTCTGGGAAGAAACCATCGCAGCACTGTCCTTCCCTGTCCAGGCAGGAGTCAGGTTTGCAAGGCTCTTCTGTGGCAGTGACGTGGGGGTCCTAATGGGAAGGGCATGCGGGTGGAGGGGCAAGGAGTGGCTTGCCCCAAGACTGAGCCCCAGAGCCCTAGCGCACAGAAGAGCCTCCGGTTCCAGTGTGTGCTCTGAAATAGGCGGGAATCAGCTTTTAAACCACTGCAAGTTTTCCCCTGGGTTTGTTTCTCTTAAGTGATCTACAATTAGACTGAATCTTTGCACTGGTCAGTCTTCCTGCCACTGTGTCAAGTATCCAACACTCAAAGTTGCTGTTGTCTAGGGCTTAACAACCCATGGATTTCAGGGCTTCAGTCCATTACGGACAGACTCCAGGGGAGAAACATGATGCAAGGGTGGAAGAGTAAGAA